AAGTCATCCAAGAAAATACTTTCCCTATCACAGTAAACAATAGAACCACACAGTTAGCAAAACATGAAGGAATCTCACAAACATAATATTGAGTGGGAGCAACTGAGTTGCGTTGGTGTATGTACCAACTGATTTTATGATTCAAAAGCTCACACAATTCATTATAATTTGACTCCTCCGTGTTGGCTCATTCTTAGGCCCCCAGGTTTGCAGGATGGCTGCAGCTCTAAATTCTCTCTTGTTCATATCTAATAGGAGCTGGAAAAGGTCTGTTTCCTTCTTAATAAAACACCATACATTAGGTCTCATAGTCACTGATTTATCTAGTCTTGGGCCAGTACAAGTCTTGGCTTATGCTAATTAGACATTCTTTCTGGATGTGTCTTGAGCCTGTTTCCAGAAGAAAATCACACTTGAATTGGTGGACTGAGTAAAGTAGATGGAACGCCCCAGTGTGGATGGGAGTCATCCAATCCACTGAGGTGATGAATGGAACAAAAAGGCAAACTGAAAAATACTGTAATGGAAACTGAAAAATACTGTAATCTGGAATCTTCACACTTGACCCATGAAAGCAAAAAATTGAGAGCCATAGAATTGATGGCATAGATGCTTGCTTAAATCTGAGGTCCTAAGAACTAGGAAAACCCAGGGCAGAGGAAGAATGTCCCAGTTCAATTATTCCAGAAGAGAGGAGTGAATTCAAACTTTATTTGCCTTTTTGTTTCATTCATCACCTCAGTGGATTGGATGACTCCCATCCACACTGGGACATTCCATCTACTTTACTCAGTCCACCAATTCAAGTGTGATTTTCTTCTGGAAACAGGCTCAAGACACATTCAGAAAGAATGTCTAATCAGATATCTGGCATTACATGGCTAAGTCAAAGTGGTGAATAAAAATATACATCAGAAGACTCGCCTTTGTCAATTTGGCACTCATATACATCTACTTAAACCATAGTAAATGTTTTAAAACAAAACAAAGAAGTCATAATCTGACTAACATGATGTAACTATCCTGTATATATCTGTTAACTGGTGAAGACCTTCTACAGAAGAAGAGGTTAAGTCTTTTAGGAATGTTTAGTCTTCTCTTTGAAGTTTGGCAGCAGAAGTACTATCTTATAAAATGAACAGTGCTTAAAAACTATGCTATAACACGAACATATCTTACATGATGTGATAAAGGAATATGAAAGAAAAAATATATAAAAAAAGAAAAGGAAAATTTTTGCTCTGTGTGTGCCTACACACATATGCACTGATTTCAAAAAATGAGAAAATGTTTGTGATAATTACAATCTTAATTTTGGTAACTGGTCATGTGGTAAAGGTCTGTATTTATGACCTTCTTAAACTATTCATTTCCTATTCCCTTTGTCTATAGCAAACACTTTAGCAGTGGTAGTTCTTTCCCTGGTATGGTGACCTAAACACTTATTCCTGATGATTCTTGGTCAGTAGTCCTGCCTAAGGTGGGTTTTTATAGCTTTCCATTGACTCTAATCATAGAACATGGTAATACCGAGCCATTAGAAGACTCCTAGGAATCTTCTAATTCTGGACATAGTCTTTCCTACCTCCATTATGGATTTGTAGTCCAATTTCTCCTTAGTAGTCAAGATCACCCCAATCATCATAGTCATTACTTTCTTTGCCAATTGATTCAGAGAGATAAGAAGACCAAAATGTGGAAGTTTTAACTTCCAGTTC